TTGTTTATGTTGATTTTGGATTTCAAATTAATCACATAAAATGGCGAAAATATTACTGAAAAGTGGGTCAACGGAAATCTGGTTCAAATAAGATGTCCTTTAGATTCGAATTACAAGACAGTAAAAAAATGTAATGCTGCTAGATAGGTTAGATATAGCCTTAAGAAATACTGGCGATTACTTTGGTATGAACCACGCAATACTTGTTATGTATGGCCGTATCTTGAGTCAATCAATAAAATAGAAGAAAAATAGGTTTCTGCAGTCCCTGGACATTTTACCGTTATTTCACTGACCGATTACACAAAACACGTGATCTAATAGCCAACACATCGTTGCTAGGTTACGAAAAAGGACGTTGGAATCACGAGCAGTTGCAGGATTTAGTAATAAAGATCTAATACAATACAGTAGTAGTCCACTCAACTCTCATCTATTATTCTGTCAATGCAACTTCTGTCTATAATCAACCTTGTATTTTTTTGGTCAATAATTCAATTTTTCTTCTTCCATATAGACTTCAGTTATGAATAAAAGATATGATGCTTTAGACATGATAAATTGAAGCGGAAAGGCATGCTTCAAACAGCTATCTCCCAGGTATTGCTCTTTTGTTAGGAATTTTAAGCCAGACATTTAAAGCCAGATAGATGAAAAAACATGGTGTTTTTTTCAAGATACAGAGAACAAACATCGGTAAAAACCATTCCGGGTAGATGTCCACATTATGAATTGATGAACAGAACTGGGGTAAATGAATTTGTCTCTTCATCCGTGGTAACCTTAGAACCTTTATTTCTGACTGAGAAATAATATAGAAATTAAAGGCTTTTAAAAGCGATTATGATACTTAAAGTCTTGACGATATCCACTGAAATTCTTGTGTCTCTTTTGAGCAACCAACCCCACGGTTTTGTTTGCATTTTAAAAAATTGGTGTTGGCCATGGCAACATCTCTGAACCATGTACTATGCAACGGCCTTGGATACCATTCTGCCACCTACACAATTCCAGCTTTCGAACATGCCCTGGTAAATTATGAACGCACGGGTGAAGTAAGAATGTCTTCATTCTGTGTATGTCTCAAATCCTAATTACAGAACTAACTACTGAAGAATATTATACCCTTTTTGAATAAGAATAGTCATTTTTTATTGTGCATTTAACGTACAAAGCCTTTTAAAGAATATAAACCAGTATCAAGTATACATGAAAACAGCAAATCGACTTTTCACTATCGCTCAAATCTTGCAGTCCAAGTTATGATACGATTGTTGAAACATTTTCAAGAGAGCACCTTTCTGACAGCAGCGGAAATATTATTGAATTATCCTATCCGTACGTCAAAATATATACAAAACGTAATATCATAAAAATTTCACTCAAATGATTCTTTAAAAATAATTTGTATACACAATTCGAATGTAAGCATGCTTATTCACTGTAATTTGATCAAATTATTAAGAATTCTAGTCATGTACAATATAACAAATATATTTGTAGAATTTTGTCTTATTTGATTTACAGATACTCAGACATATTTGATTGAAATTTCGTAAACGAAACTAGATCAGTTAAATTTCAAACCTAATTTTTGTTGCCTTTGTTGTTAAAAATTAAAAGGTTTCTATCTGGGTTTCGTGTTATACCGAATTGAAGTTTACATACACTACATTGCGTATTTCAATAACAGTTGTTGCAAACGAAGTACTCTTTTCATATACTACGTGTATACTCATGTATGTATCCTAAACATGAGAAAAAAGTACATCTCATAGTCCAACAGGAAAGAGGAAGTCACATTAAATGTCCGGCTTATGCTGGGGTAAGCTTGCGCACTGACAATGTACACTATGGTTTGGGCGAGTTACACTCTATTGTTCCCAATTTATTTGTTCCAAATATTCTTATGTGGATGGATGGAAGATGGATTAGCTGTAGCAATGAAAAGGTCCAATATTGAATTGGGAGCAAAGGTTCACACCCTTGAAACGGAACAGTGATAAAACAGCATTTGACAGGTATGACAATGTTAATTAGGATGCAATTCTTGAATGAATGAGCCAATAGTGCCAAAAGTTGTCATATCTCTACAACAAATTTGTTAAAGGCTCTGACTTCGTAACGCCCAGTAACAATAATTTAGGATGTTTGTTAGAACCCTGCGAATTTGTAAATTTCATTTGTCTTTAAAAGAACAACAAAACATTCTAATCAACGTAGTAACAAATCAGTTTTATTTGAAAAACCCAAAAGAAAAAGATGTTCGGACCTCTTCCAGCAATTCTCTTAAAGTAGTCTCTACACCGCCGTAACGTCGCCGAGCTAAACCTTTTCAATCCACTTGAAAAAGAATTTCTTATGTTTACTTGCCTAGTTCATAGAAATAAAATCAACAAACTTATTCTGCCAAATAAGATTTTCTGGTATACAAAACAACAAAGAAAACCGTAATTTTGGTCAAGTCGCTTTCAAGCCATGTTGCCCAATTATTAGACACCAAATGCGATAAATCTGCGGTATTTTGAAGAGGTAGCCAAATTGGACAAACTTTAATCCCTGAACATGTACGACTAGCTATCGAAATGTGACATCACACAAGATGTTGCTGTTAACTAATCCGACGTAAAAAGATAAAGATTTTCCTCGACTCAAGAAGTATGGGAAGTCCGAACTGGTATTTGTTTATTTTGAGAAGACCAACGTTTGTTTCCTTTTAAAACTGGTAGATCTCATCATATGTTTTTTTCATTCTAAATTTCGTTCATTCCGGTTTCTGTAAGAGTTTGTTTTTAAAAAACTGGTCAACTGTTAAAACACTAAAACTATTGTCTTACAACATGTGGCAGTTGGGATATTTAAAGTCCATTGACACAATGAAAGCCTCACAAATCTCTTGCAGTTTTCGTCTTAAAACATTTCAAACATGGTTACGGTACAACCACGTAATTCTTGCATGTGCTTGAGCAAACAAAAAGGACATTTTTAGACAAAAAAAAGTCTAGTTGTATACAAAGGCCATTTGAGTGGAACTTAGGTTTCAAAATACAGAAGTCTAAGTATAAAATATTATGTACTTTTCTCAAATAATCTTTTAAACAAATGTTTGTTTCATATCATAACAAGTTCCTTCAATAGAGCTGTCTACAATATACAAAGTAATTTTTTTAACGTCGATTTTCTATATCCAATTATTATCAAAGTTTAGAATTATTTCTGCCGTAAATACAAAAAACGTAACAATTAAGACAAAAATAGTCTCTCTCTCCTTATGTGAATAGGTAATGTAAATTGATAGAGTCATTATTTAGCTACAAATGCCTATTATGCCAATTTTTTTGCACCTTTTTACTTTTCAATGTCTTTGGTTCGACAAAAGTGTTCATGAAAAAGTTGATGTTGGTACAGCACTTCACAATGTTGTTAACTCAGTTATGGTACATTGGTATAAGTGCATGGTAACGACCGGAATTCCATAGATATCCTATGTCTGTATAGCTCAGTGCCGGAATTCACGGTTGAAGGGAGATAACTAGTTATTTTATTTTTAACCTTTCGTAAAATATTTATTTTTTAAGGCAGGGGTTTCAAGCTGGTGGTTATTTGACACTAAGGCGCATTTCGGTCACGCTTATTCTCCGACATGAACATTATTGCAGGGAAAACACAAGAGAAAAGTACGAAATAGTATGAACTCTAAGGAGTAAGGGGGGTGGACTAATGCAATTGAACAATGGTCCTTATTATACGGAAAAAGTTTGAAAACCCCTGTTTTCAGGTATTCATCTGACTTGATGTCCGTCAATTAAGACGAAAAGTTGCAAATTTCCACCTTATAAACATTTAAGAGTAACTTGAAATGTACATTCTATCATAGAACTGTATATATTTCTATGATTGTATAAGGGCTACTTCAAAGATAGTTAAAGGGACATAAACAAATTCCACAGCTTACTTCAGACTACAAATACATCAGTTTCAGTAATGTACTCTTGTTTGCATCACTCATATGCCTTTGGTATAAACAAGGTGGAAGTTACATCTTCCCCTAACCGTTGCATTAATAAGAGGAGCAATGGTAGCCAATCTACACTCTCTTTTGAGGAAATTGAAGTAATCTTGTACCGTGAGCACAGGCAAATGTGAACAGTCAAGCGGTCTGCAAATAAAATAACCAATCTACAAGCATGCATATTTTAGGTTGTTCCAAAGGTTTTAGGAGACTAAAGTTTAATCTACCCACCCGAATGAGATCCAGAAAAGTTTATACATGCGTCTATTTAGGTAGTCTAAAACGCATATAAGGTAGAATCGATTTAGACCTCTCTCCCCCAAGGACAAATCTGTGAACGGACAGCTACTGTATGCCATATTCTAAGATATAACAATACACAATTTAAACATTCATTTGGTATATGAATATCAATTTTCACAATTTCCTACAATATTCATACAACTGAAGACACTAAAAATAAATTTAAGAAATATATGAAAACATCCTTTTGTAGCAAATTCAGTAACATTTATTGTGGTTAACGTCCATAGTTCGCCATTTCCGGGGTTTGATTTGTATATTTGTATATGTAAATAGCCTTCGGGAGTATACTAGTAATGCACTAAAATTCCTTCAAATATCCGGATAATTCTGGACACATTGATTTGAAGGCTCAAATTTCGACGATGAGCAGTTGAAAGTATTATCGATTCGCTTAGCTATAAAAAACCCAAGGTACTGTTGGCCAAGCGGATGGCGAAGCTGTACCTTTAAGTACCTAAAAATATAGTATGGTGGTTTGTCTAGAACATGTTATTGTACCAGTCCGAAGAGATATGCACTAATCTGTAACCATCTGTCCGGTTCTTATGTTACACGTGGTGTACCAAAATCATGGTTTCCGTAATATGTATGTCTCCAAACGCTTTTTAGAAAATGATTGTATTTGTTCCACAATGGCTTCAATACCTTTATCACAAATATGTCGTGGTGGTGAAATCATGGGATTTAAAGATACATCAAAAGACTTAAGATGACGCAGATCCAGAATAGCAGAACTGAGAAAGCGGATTTTATTATTCTTCAGATTCACATTTATAAGTGATTTACTGAGGAAGATCACAGGTGGGACTTCGTTAAAATTGTTGTGCGCTACATCTAGATCTTTCAAGTGTACCAAAGTCTTCAAAGACATGGGTAGATCTTCCAGTTGATTGTGACGAACAGTCAACGTTGTTAGATGGTTGAAGCGACTTACTGCATCAGGCAGCTCATCCAAATGTCCACCGCTTCTCACACGTACCCTTGACATTATCCAAGGTTCTTTTACAGCAGAAAAAATTACGAACAATTCACTTGAATCTAAGTGATCGACAAACCCCAGTTTAGTCAAACCGTTTTCAAGAATATAGCCGGTCTGTTTACAAAATAAACACTCTCTAAGTTTAGTTTTGGGTGTTCGTTTTTGTCCTGACACACCATCACAATTTTCAGAATTTTCTGAATTAATTGTTCTACAGCTGTCACTTTCTGTTCCGTCATCGACATTACTCTTAACTTTATCAACTATCTTAATTACACCAGAATTAACTGCGACCTTATCACCGTTGGCCTTCCCCTGGTCATCTACCTGCGAAGATTTGCTGCTGATGCTACACGAAAAAGTTTCACTTGCACTTTTGTTTTCATCACCCTCGTCGTCCAGGATGCAATAATCAGCACAATCAGAGGGTTTTAAGTGAATCATATATGATTTCTCCGATTTTTCTGTTTCTTCCTCATCAGAATACTCCTCGACAGATAGGCTGACATCTCGCAAAATGTCTAGAAATAAATCCCGTTTTTCCCAGGCCATAAATAAACAAGAATAATTACACTTTGGGTCCCGAAAACTTGCTGATGGTAATCGAAATGGCACCTTCTATTCAACGATACTACTGAAATTATGTCCAAATTATGATTTGTTGATAAATATATTGTTCATTAGACTCTAATCAATATCAAATTATGTGAAATTATTATACTGAATTGCTTTAGAAGTATTATTTTATAGGAGGGTCTGTATATAGAGTAAAGATAGATTCTCCCTGTGGTGTAAAAACAGATTCAAGACTAATGACAATTTGTTAACTAAATATACAAGTTATATGGTAGAAAAGTTGCGTAAAATGCTGAAATACATAGAGAAGTTTGAAATCTCATTTTTTGACGTTTGTCTACATATTCTCGAAAGTATTCCTTTATTAAAGGAATTTGAAAGTTTTACACTACCTTGTGGGTCAATTTTACCTTAAGAATATCTGGAGCACCGAGCATCACATTAAAGTGTGTCATTGCATCAACCTATAATCAACAATAAAATTAAAAAAATTATTTGAATGTCAAAATAAATAATTTTGTCAAATCCAACTTTAATTTCCAATTACAGATTGAACAATCATTCGCTTTTACTTAATTACATTCTTTATTGTCATGATTCAGGAGAAAATAATACTTAAATAATTGTTAGCTCTTCATAATCAAAACCAATGACAACAGTACACATTTTTTTGATAATCATTATTTACAAAGCAATAGTCAGGATAAAAAAAGACACGAAATTGTTGGAATACACGCTGCAGAGCCAATATTGATGATTAATATTAAATAATATAATTACTTTTGCTTAATTCTGTCTAAATTTCAAGGTCAGCTATTTGTCTCATATTTGATTGTAAACAAATCCTCGTCAGTAGAGTTAGAGGCCATGGTTCGCAATTTTCGGGAGTTGATTTGGGTCTTGAATATTATGAAAATAGTCTACAGAAGAACTAGAAATGTACGAAAATCGTAAAATTCCTTTAAACTCAAACTGGTACATGTAATCTCTTTTTCTATATCTGTATATATATATATATATATATATATATATAAATGACAAGTCGTCATTTTAACTTTCAATGCGGATAATTCTGGACACACATGGATTTGAAAGGCTCAAATTTCGATGGTGAGCTGTGCACACTATTACTGATTATAGCTAAGCTAAAAATAATTCCTTTTTCTGTGACTATGATACGATTGGTGAACTCATTATTCTGCATTAAATCAATCGCCGATCGTGACTCGAGATTATCAAATGCATTAAAAGCTTGTTTTGAATAATAGAGGTTAACTTGTCATTATACATGTAGGACTGTGTGCGTATGAGCAAAGTAAAGAAGTGGTCCTCACACCATAGCAATCACCAGTTGTGTATGGTTGCGAATAAGAATAGCAATCATAACTTTCGAACACATCTCTCATGCAAGTGAGTTTTGAGTTTTGCGTTGCGTTCGAAACTCATGGTCACTTTCATTATTCGATACTATAATCACTATGGTGTAAAGGCACCTTTAAGAAATTCGTTGAACAGTAGCGAGATATCGACAATAATATATTAACATTCTTCGAGTTTTGCTTTGAGAAATTCTACTTGCTTAGACTATACGTGTTTAGGAGCTCAAATTTAATTGATAAATACTATATGTCTAACCAGTGTCACAATTAACATACCCTTTCACAATAATGACCATTTTCTCATTATGATCATTATAAAATACTTTCCAAACACTTCGCAGAGAAAAAAGTAGGTTGCCTATAAACAGACGATTAACTGCAATCTTTTATGTATAATATATATCGCATCATTACCCATTAAAGTAAAACAGTCTTCAATTCCATTGCCCAATTATTTCTGTATCATATTAGTAAATAAAACACGTACCATCAGACTAGTGGCGTTTCTATGAAATATTAGGTGAGGGGGAGGGGGCGAGCCGGGGCCACAAATTTTTCTGGGTTGGGTGGCACAGGCCATTCTTTTACTATGTAATATGATAAAAAAGAAAACGGCTTATTGTAATTTATTCTTTACATTCTTCGAAAAAACAATATTACTTAAGTTAAAGGCGCCATTTTATGAGGTTGATTTTAGAGTTGAATAGATGTAAATAGTCTTCAGAAGTACTAGAAATGTACGAAAATCGCATAATTCCTTTAAAAATACTTTAAACTAGGAATTATATTCACTATTTCTATAGAATTCTATATATCACAGACTATTTTAAAAATCCAAACGCGGATAATTTCGGACACACATGGATTTAAAGGCTCAAATTTCGACAAATATGGTTTTGCTTCATAGACTAATTTGTTCTGAAATTGATCACAAAACGTGTATTGCTGACACATGACAACAACTTGTTCTTTTCGCTAACCCAAAAAAGTTACTTGACAAGCGAACAGATTTCAGTATATAAAAGCAACACCGTTCTACGTTTTGGTGCTCGTTTATTAATTGATATCCTGCCCATGGCCATTGGTCGACCTGTGCCATCAGATGTGTGTACATCCTTGTTCCTGAACAGCCGAGGGTGAAATTACTTAAAAAGAGATTTGAATAAAGTATAATTATAATTAGTAAATTGAATAATATATAATTGTGAAGAGAAAAATGAGTGATGGTTTTAATCAGATTATTCAATTAAATTGGATGTTGTAATAAGATATATGAAGTAATGTATAAATACAACCAGTATTGAAGGTAAGATTATCACAAATCTTCTATACTTTAAACTATCAACATCACAACCATCCAATACTAGTAAGTAGATATTTTTTACAATGAATACTGAGCCGCAAAAGTATTCTAGTTGTATGAATAGATGAAAGTTTAATTTGTAGATTATGTTTTATCAACATCAGAACACTTTAAATCAAGTCTTTAATTCTGATTCCCATGTGGGTACTGAATGGTTTTTTGTTATTTGTTTGTCTGTTTTTTCTTTTCAGAAATCAAGATGAACAACCTTTTTACCATTGCTTTATGTTTCGCCTTCGCCGCCACAACTCTGGCTTTTAACCCAATGATGATGGGCGGTATGGGTATGATGGGTGGTATGGGTATGATGGGTGGTATGATGAACCCTTACATGATGGGTATGGGAGGACTTGGTATGATGGGAGGTATGGGAGGACTTGGTATGATGGGCATGGGAGGTATGGGTATGATGGGTGGTATGTACAACCCAATGATGATGGGTTATGGTGGACTCGGTATGCTCGGTGGAATGGGTGGATACGGTATGATGGGCGGTATGATTGGAAAATAAGGTACGTATAGTGCAGTTTCTTTGCGTGTGGGGTGATATATCACTTCAAATAGAATCATATAAGCAGGATAAAAGTCAGGACATCGCAGTAAACCACAAGGATGTCAAAATGACTTTGAACTGGTGCGTATTAATTTAAAAATCATATTGAACTCAAAACCAAACAAAAATGTTTAAGGGCTGAGGTGTAATAGAGGATAGTGATAGGAATAGAGAAATATACTTACTATAGTGGATCGCGCCCTTTGTACTGGATGAAACTATTCTTTGACAGACAAGTTCCTCTTATACTATAATATTCACCTAACCATTGTCATTTTGTTTTATTTCAGACAACCGTGCCCCGATTTCGAATCTTGTAATATTTGTAAAATAAATAAATTGTATTAAAATTTTATCAGTATTTTATTTGTATTTCTTATTGGAAACGATCAATTCCATCATAGTGATTTATTATGTAATGAAATCAATGCTACTAGAAACTCAACAAAGGAGAAGTCCTATAACCATTGGCCAAAATTAAAGTCTGTTAACTAGCAAATATTGCAGAAGGCTTCTTGTTAAGAGTAAAAGCAATTCAAAGACCCATAGAAATTTTGCGCCACTTTTGATGAAATCACGTTTAAACTGAGGAGAGACTGGGGAAGTGATATACGGATGGGATTTAGGCAACTTTTGGAATTGTAACCATATTTGTCAAAAACTTGGACGTTTGCTTGGCAGACTTTAATCCTCAATAACGGACATAACGCATCATTTAAGACATTTGAATGCCATCGGTCGGTACTGTACTGATGATGGTATTTGCAACACAATCTTGACAGATCTTTAATGTATAGATTGGTATAAAAATATTAAAATGCAATTAACTCGACAGAGGATCTGACATTAGTTTGGCAATGGGAGAGCAATATGCGCCCTGTGAGCGCAGTTATAACGTCATAAGAATGTCCAAAACCGCAGAAGTGTCGTGTCGAAAACTCAAAGGTCGTTTGTCGCCTACACGCTTATACTACTCTACTGGCGACATTAACACTCCCCGAGCCAAGTTCCATCGCCGTAGTTCTGCAGTAAGGACTTGAAGACTTGAGACTTGGACATCGAAATTTGCTTAATAGAACTTTTCTTCCTTGATAGAACTTGAAAGCATGATTACACATGTATTACATGCTTGGAAGAATAAAATCACTTTACTCAAAGGGACATTTTTTTCTTTTCTAAAGGTTCAACTAAAAATATTGAGTCTTTGTGAGGCCCAACTCTAAATCTCATTTAAGCTGCTTACTTTTAAAACAAATTCCGCTTGATCAAGTAGATACGTAGCTGCATATTTTGTCAGGCATGAATTGATCTGGTTTTATCTCATGATTTTTACTATTGTGGTATTGGCGGGTGATGCAGCCCATGCTTCCTTTTTTCTATACACCTGACGGTACTTCTTTTTGGAGGAGTCCACTTGCCATACTTTGGAGGAGATTTTGATTAACGGAATTGTCTTGCTTGTACGTATTTTTTATTAGAAATATTTTCAGGTATAATTTACGAAGTTTTATATAATAAAGAATTTTCATATTGTCCGTTTCAAGATACTACAGGAACATCACCGTATTAATAAAAAAAAACACACCTATATTCACGTCTTGCAATGCTTCCGATTGTTTTTTCTGTCCATAACCTATTCGTCATATTTCCTCGATGTAAAAATCCTTATTCGAGATACGATGCATTTATACTTATTCATTGTACAGTTAAGATTCTTTAATCTTCATCGGATTGTGAGATCGCCGGACAAAGCACAGAGGCATAACAGATTCAATTCTAATGAAATTCCAATGGAAATTGGAACAGAATCGTAGTGTATCGAGAGGTAATTTATAAAAAAAACATATGAACATCATCTTCACAATGGTCAAGGTACCTCCAGCTTCGTCTTACACCTTGACTACAATAGCCACCATTTTTGTTTTACGGAAGTTTGCATCTGCAGTGATTATTCGTTAGTGAATACAGCCAATCAGAGGTTTCGACAGAGTCGAGCATCAATCTTAACAGTCTTTCTGTTCGGGGCTCTGATTGTATTCTATAGCGTACAATTCAGTCGAATAGCTGCATCCCATGATCATGTGGATATTGCATTAAGAAGTATGCAAGATAAAAACCTAATAATCTTTAGCTATACATTAGAATAAGTTTACATAAAAATAATTATATACTGAGTAGTAAGATTTCGTCACTACATTATTAGGGGTCAGGTCAAACAATAAAGAAATTTATTTTAACTTCCTGGTTCATAGAAAAGGTAAAGTTGAAGGTTTTAATTGAAACGAAGACGTCAGACGTGTGATAGCTTAAGATACTTGTATAATCCAAGCGTAATTGTCTACATATTTAGGAACTATGCAATGACAGCTAACTGACAAGCTTCCCCAGACAAGATCATACAGATATAAAATGCTTCTTGTGTGTATTTTGGCTCCATTTATTTGTTAAAAATGTATTTTCATCTCCCCCTCCCAAGAAAAATCGACTTGATAATCGAAAGATTTCAGGACGTTTAGGCACAAAATAAAAATTTTCCTAATAATTATGCTCTGCACTCGCTTGAAAACTGATATCTTGCCCATGGCCATTGTTTGGCCTGTGGCGTCAGATGTGTGAACTACATCCTCGTTCCTTCCAGCCGACTTGATTTGAATAAAGTATAATTATAATTAGTAAATTGAATAATATATAATTGTGAAGAGAAAAATGAGTGATGGTTTTAATCAGATTATTCAATTAAATTGGATGTTGTAATAAGATATATGAAGTAATGTATAAATACAACCAGTATTGAAGGTAAGATTATCACAAATCTTCTATACTTTAAACTATCAACATCACAACCATCCAATACTGGTAAGTAAATATTTTTTTAAAATGAATATCGTGGAATAAGATAAGAATTGTAAGCAACAAGTACACTGCAGTGGAACTCACAGGCCAAATTTATGGTATCAACCGCTCGGTCCACTAATGACGTCGAGGTCATAGATCAAATTTGTAACTTTTTGTTGGAGTGGAATTGATAACGGGTTTGCTGTTACTGGCCGCCGTAATTCGACTAGAACCTCCCTGGTATTTATTCATAGGTAAACACATGAAGTTAGTGCCAAATAGCTATGGTGTTTTGTTTTGCTTCAAGTCCGTTGTTTTGTTTTCCAGAATTCAACATGAACACCCATTTTGCCATCGCTTTATGTTTCACCTTCGCCGCCACAACACTGGCTTTTAACCCAATGATGATGGGCGGTATGGGTATGATGGGTGGTATGATGAACCCTTACATGATGGGTATGGGAGGACTTGGTATGATGGGAGGTATGGGAGGACTTGGTATGATGGGCATGGGAGGTATGGGTATGATGGGTGGTATGTACAACCCAATGATGATGGGTTATGGTGGACTTGGTATGCTCGGTGGAATGGGTGGATACGGTATGATGGGCGGTATGATTGGAAAATAATGTACGTAGTGCAGTTAGTTTTTGTTTGTGTTAGAGCTGAAATCAAATTAGCACGATAGCAGTTATAACATTACAGCATACCAAAACAATGTTCAAAAATGTTTTAGAACTGGTGCCATAATTTCATCTAAAAAAAATTCATATTGAGGTATATATTTTAAAATGCGTTTACATTTTGCACAGTCAAGTTGCTTTTATACACGCGATATCTACCTAACCCTTTTCATTTGTTTTTTAATTTCAGAAAACTGTGCTTCACTTTTGAACATTTAATATTATTATAAAATAGTAAAATAGAAATAAAAATATATTTTTATCCACTAAATACATTTATTTGTTTTATTTAATTGGGAAACGACCATAGTCATTTACTTATGTTATAAACAGTCCCTTTGCATAATTTGGAGTACATTAGTCATGATAGAGGGCAGATTTTCTAAAGTGGGATAATGCATCTAATGCGATTTTAGAAGTGAACATTGAATAAATATTTCACTATTTATGACTCAAAGGCAGAGGGAGCAAATCCCAAATATTACCACCTAATTACGCCACTGAAAATGTCAATTGAAACTCGACAAATGCTTTCATTATAAAACTTTAAGTAATAGTAATTAATAAACCATTGTGTCACTGACTTACAGCAACCAGTAAAAGTAATAATGACATTAAAAAAAGGCCATCCATGTCAATGACATTTGAAGAAAAAATAGTATTTAATTAAGGCAGCACAGTGACATTTCAGACATGATTAAGTAAGGAGTTTGTTTCCTTTCTTTCTAAACACTTATGAATACATTGATGAAAAACGCGTCCATTTATTTTCATAATGAAAAACATAACCGAATAAATTGAGACAAGCAGGTACCAGTTGCGCTGGTTGGGGTTAAGACCAAAATTTTGACAGGTTGCAGCTCGAAAACTAGCAGAAATGTAAAGTTGCAATTTGCACTCAAGGTACACACCTCTGTGAAGTTGCTATATTCCGAATTTCAAGTTCCTACCTTGAAAACTCTGCCAGCCACAGCAGTTTTAGCCTCAGACTTTTTCCCAAACCAAAAATATACGCGATTTTCCTCTTGATAATAAGGGTGAAACTTCAAAGTCGATGCTAGTTAAACCACTTTTAGTCTTATACTTTTCCCCAGAACCGAAAATATCAGCAGTTTTCCTCTTGAAAACCAGGGTGAAAATTGAAAGTCGATTATATTGAAAGTTTTCAAAAATCCGAATTTCTGTTTTCGACTGTTAAACTGTCTTTAGCAACAAAAATTATACCTTTCGGTCAAAATTGGCGAGGTAATGGTCATTTTACTGCGGTTGGGGCCCGACAGCCCGCCTATACAGCCCTGTTACACTGGTTGGGGGTAAGACAAAAACTTTGACATACGCCGTTCAAAACTATCAGAGATATCAAGCTGAAATTAGGACTGCAGGTCCACACCCATCTGAAGTTGTTGTGTTCCAAATCTCAGGTTTTTACCGAGAAAACTCTGCCAGTCACAGCACTTTTAGTCTCAGACTTTTTCCCAGAACCAAAATATAAGTAGTTTTCCTCTTGAAAACCAGGTATTGGAAGTTGTTGTGATCTAAGTCGATTTTCTCAAAAGTTTTCAAAAATTCCAAATTTCTGCTTTCGGCTGAAATAGATAGGAGGCATGTTAAACTCTCGTTTGCAACTAAAATAATTATTCCTCTAGCGTCAAAATTGGAGGAGTTATGGCCATTTTAGTTCAGGGGTGGGGTCGGCAGTCTGTCTATAGGGTCTTTCTGCACTGCATTTTCAATGGGGTGATGGCCAAAATTTGACAGGCTCTCGTTCGAAGGCTATCATCGCTGGAAAGTTGAAATTTGAATTGAAGGTATACCCCTATTGGAAATTGCTATGTTTCAAAT